ATCCGATATACTGCGCATATTTTCCACTTTTGCGCAACCAAAAACGACCAATGATGGTCTATTTCGGCCTCAGGCTTGTCTTAGGCCTGCGCACTCGATTTTTTACAGAATACTCCTTGTCATGGGGTATCGTTTTCAGGGGGTATCCTTCGGTTAACTTTCAGAGACCTTCAAATTGGTGGTGTCAGATCGCTGATTGGCCTTCGCATTCACGAGATAATGCATGCGCACTATAGTTCTGGTGGGTGATATGATGCGCAATACCAAATAATCGGTTTTTTCTCGAGACTTTCATACATATTGAAGATTGAAATTTCGACATTCGTTTATTTTCGGACGATATCGCGTGCACACTATATATTGGATGGGTCAAGTCATGCGCATTTGTGTGCACAGTTAACTACAGATCGAAATACATCTGATAAGCCTATATTATCAACTCATTCCAGAATTTTTCAACGCCCTCTTCACATTATATCAGCGAAGGAACTCGTATCGGAATTTCCGATCGAGGATTCGTTATGAATACCCAAAAATATATATTATCCGATATACTGCGCATATTTTCCACTTTTGCGCAACCAAAAACGACCAATAATGGTCTATTTCGGCCTCAGGCTTGTCTTAGGCCTGCGCACCCGATTTTTTACAGAATACTCCTTGTCATGGGGTATCGTTTTCAGGGGGTATCCTTCGGTTAACTTTCAGAGACCTTCAAGTTGGTGGTGTCAGATCGCTGATTGGCCTTCGCATTCACGAGATAATGCATGCGCACTATAGTTCTGGTGGGTGATATCATGCGCAATACCAGAAAAATCGTTTTTTTCTCGAGACTTTCATACATATTGAAGATTGAAATTCCGACATTCGTTTATTTTTGGTAGATATCGTGTGCGCACCATATTTTGCTTGGGTCAACTCATAGGCATTTGTGTGCACAGTTAACGACAGCTTGAAATACATCTGATGAGCCTATATCATCAACCCATTTTCGAATTTTCAACACCCTTTTCACATTTTTATAAACTTTATCGTTTTTTCTGTACATATCCTAATGACAATTTCTCATTATCTCCACCCAACCCATCCAAATCACTCAAAATGCAAAGATGAATCGATATCAGCCAAAATTTTATTATTATCATCAATACATAATTTATTCAAAACTAATTCTAAAGTGTAACTAAAAAGTCTTCAATATAGATAGAGAAAGCATCAAACGAATGAGGCACTCATTACTGGATTACTCAAGATTGCGTTCCCTGCTGAAAATTAGTGAAAAGCAGCTCGCAGACATGCTGAAAGAAGTCGTTATCGGTTGCGCCCCACATGAAATTGCTCTAGTTCGTGATAAAATTCCTCAGCAATTACGTAACGATCCGGACGTTTCAAAATACCAATTTTGAAATGATGGACCAACACCGAGTAGAATATTTTGCTGTTCTCGTCAGATCAAAGATGTGAATGTGGCAATTGAATGTATTAATACTTCACCTCGTTGAAACGGCGGCATTCATCATTGTTGTAAGCAGCAATAAGGTTGTCACCTTCCCACCACGGTTGCGCATATATTTCAACATTTATCACAGTTCCGCCGTCGCCTTCCTCTGAGAAGTCATGTCACAAACTTTCACCATATCTGGGGACCGCAGTGTTTTGAGCGCCGACTTCACCCACCTATTGAACTCGATACAAAAAAATCCTATGTTTTGGGATTGCATGGTTCCTACTCATATAACTCCATACTCAATAAAGATGGGAAAAATAACCGATTGGACTTTTGGGCTGTGTTGGGAGCCAAAACCACCCACAAAATAGTCCACATACCACCTGGCGCCTATGAAATAGAGGAAATCAATGAAGCTCTACAAAAGGCTATAGCGAGGGGACGTCGTTGTGAGCGAGAAGTAAAGAGCGAATTTGAGTATAGCGACTTCTTTAGGGTGCAAAATTATAGGTCGCAGAACATTTACATCGAAGACATTTAGTTTTAAAAAAATTAAGGCGAATAATTTTAGCGCGCTGCCATTTAGAGCGAAAGAAAAAATATACCACTGAAAATATTTCTTCGGCTATGGACATTGATGAGTTTTTGCTCCTAAACGAGTTTCACTATCTAGAAGCAGTTTTTTTTGTGATATTAGTGGTATAGGTATAGGTTCATGCAAAATGTTAACTTCAAACGGAACATTGTGTATTCTGAACATTAGTTCGTCGCCATGTTACAGTACATTAAAAGTAAACGCGGCAATGTTTTGGCTGTATATAATAATTTTATATATAGAAAGGAGAAAGTAGTTGATGAGAAAACTTATTGGAAATGTGTGGAATATAAGGATAAATTATGTCATGGAAGATTACAGACTAAAAATGAAAATATAATGAAAGAATCAGAGCATAGTCACCCACCGAATCCGGCAGAGATCTACGCAAGAAAAGTAGTCGACGATATGAAACAACTGGCAACCGAAACCAATGACAATCCAAATAATATCATTGCACAGGTATATACTTTTGTCATTCATTTTTAACTCTTGTACCTACTCAATGAGAATGTCCTATTATTCATTGGATTTGTTTTAGTCGTATAGGAGGTTAGGTTATAGTTTGGTTTTGTCGTAGGTGTGTAGTGATCTTTCAACAGCGGTCATGGGAAGAATGCCAACTGTGAAAAATATGAAAAGGAGTATTAGGAAACACAGATTGAAGGAGGGACATGTTCCAAATAATCCAATGTCTTTGGAAGATCTGTTGATTCCGGAAGAGTACAGATTTATCAAAAATGAAAGGGCCTTCTTGCTATATGATAGCGGAGATAACAATCAGAGAATTTTGATTTTCTCTACGGCTGAAAATTTGAACCACATGACACGGAATAAAAAATGGTATTGTGATGGCACGTTCAAAGCCTCACCTTCTCTATTCCAGCAATTGTACACCATACATGTAGCAGAAAACGACACTTGGCTTCCTACCGTATTTGCACTTTTGCCAAACAAAACTACAGATACATACAGACATTTATTCTCCAAGATCAAAGAATTGCGTGAAGATCTTGGAAGTCCACAAAATATTATGATTGATTTTGAGATTGCCTGCATAAATGCCATGAAACAAGAATTCCCTGAAGCAAAGATTTCTGGTTGCTACTTCCATTTCAAGCAGGCTCTTTAAAGAAACTTGCAAAAATTTCCAGATTGGGCTAGCCAATACCAGAGTGACCCAAATGTTACTTTGCAACTCAATTGTCTGGGAGCATTGGCTTTCCTTCCTGAAAAAGACGTCATTGATGGGTATGAGGAATTGTTGCGATCTGATTTTTACCAAATCAATATGATCAGCCTAACGGAATATCTAGATTATTTCGAAGGGACCTGGTTGGGTCGGTCTTTGAGGGGCGGAAGAAGACGCCCTGCTAAGTTTGCTATTAAGCTATGGAATCAGTGTGAGAACGTGTGTAATGGATTACACAAAACCAATAATTCTGTGGAATCTTGGCATAATCAATTCAACTACATATTAGGGGGTTGTAATCCAACTATTTGGAAACTCATCAAAGCACTGTAGCAACAACAAAACCTCAACGATATTAAAATAGAACATATTCTGCGTGGAGAGACTACAAAAAGGAACACAAAAAATCATAGAAATGAATGTCGCCTCAGGCTTTTACTGGAACAATATAATCCGGATCGAAAGTTGGAATTTCTTCGAGGTGTTTGTCATAACATAAATTAAATAAATGAAACTTATATGTTTGTTGTATTTTTGTTGAAAATTTGATATATTGCCAATGAAATTAATTATTTATTATGATTTTCCATATCATTGATTCCTCAGATGGCGTTTTAGTTCTCTAAGTTTCAAAATTCTCTGATTTTCGCCACAACTGAGTGAATTATTTCGCAGAAAAATATTTTCGTCATTAAAATTTTGCTCTTCCATTCTTCGCTGTGACTGTTTCGCTGTCTAGATTGTTCGCTCTTAAGGTATTTCGCTCATTAAATTTTCGCTCTAAATGGTGCGCTCTAAAAATTTCGATATTTAGTTTTTCTCACAAAAGACACCCACAATACCGCTCGATGGGCGAAATATTGATGAAATTTTCTTTCTCCATGCTTATAATATTACGCTGAAATGTCAGTGTTGGGATTTGAAGCGAAGAAATACCCGCGTAATATATTGCATGAATCCACGCTGCCTGTGAATATAATGAAGGTTCGTCTCTTGAGGGTGGACTGTTATATTACCACAGGAGCATTCTCCAATGGTGAGGAGGTTCATACACTATATGAGTTCGATGTTGATGTGGAGCCTGGGTATAAGCTATCAAAGAAGCCGCAAAATATCATATATTTACTCATCAGCCCGAATGGGCGTCAGTTTATCGACAACATTACACTAAGAATATTGGATGATAACGGTCTTCTAGTCGATTTTCGCAGAGAAAAAATCATCGTTAAGCTAGAACTGGAACACCTCGATTGAGCAGACACCATCAAAGGAATGAAACGGGTTTTGTTTTGGGAACCAATCAGAACGCATGCAACCGACTAGCTCCGATACCATTCAGCGCAATATCAATAAGAAGGAGAGAAAACGTGGTAGTGGATTCATTCGAGCAGAACTTCCCGAACGTGGAAGACATAGATTGTCAGCGAGCGACAAATATTTTTTGAAGTCAATTGGTCTGAAGTTACGATAACTAGCTGCAAGATGGTTGCAACAGCCTCTACTAGCCCCCAATTGGACGTGTTTGATGAACCAATTTTAGATCATTCACTGATGAGCATAAATGAGCACACATACAAACATATGGGTCACCCTCATTCAAGAATTCTGATGAAATAAGGATCGCCGTCAACTTTCAAGGTCTGATTCTTGATATTACTGGAAGTTACATCTATATTGAGGAAAAATTCACACCAAACGATGCCACTAAAACCTACTATCTATCTGATAATGCTCTAGCATTCTCATTCGATGGAATACGCTATGAAATGGGTGACGAACAAGTATGTATGGTACGAAAACCTGGAACCACTACTACCATGAAGAGTATGATTTTTTATGGAGAGAGTAATATGAAATTCCTAGAGACAATTGGATGGGGCCCTGATGATGGCAAGCAGGTGCTTCTAGATGAAGCTAGCAACGTTTTACGCAGCAAACTACCCCTTAAATATCTGATGGGGTTTGCCGAAGATTATTCTAAAGGTATTTTGAATATCAAACAGGAGATTATACTCATCATAGATTGCTTATTCAAGAACTCATATATTGGGAAAGCGGACGCCGATGTGGAGATTAACAAAATTAAGTGGAAGATAAGACATGTGAGATAAGCAGGCTTCACAAACAAATTCATCTATTCATTGATTATTTTTGGAAAAGAAAAAATGTTACTATGCACGAAATACATATTTAATTACTCGTGTGGTCATAAATGGAAGCTGAAAACACCAAATTAGGTACCTACAATTACTTCAAACGATAAATCCAGTGTCATACACATTCAAAACATGCCCAAGCTTATAGTTTAAGTGTAATAGGTAGGTGTGAAGAACAGATGTATGAGAAAACTTTCGAATCACTTCAAAATTGGTATTTATCAGAAAAAGTCTCAGATGTATAAATAAATGGATTTAAGTAACATATATCTAAAATAGCTGGCTAGGTCGGAGTCACGTGACTTTCACTAGATGGTAAAAATGAGAATTTCTCAAATAAATCATTCGAAGTACGCTTACTCGTTTGAATTTCAAAAACATTCACTACGCGAAATTATTTCTTTTCCGATTTTACATATTCCTCTCAAATTTGAATGTTTTATTGAAACATTTAGTTTTTGGTATTTTTCAATTTTCTGGTATGAAACAGTTTTGTCGAAGTGAAAACTTCCAAATTACAGAAATTGGGGTGTGTATAATTTGCGGACTGAAATAAAATGCTGCGGACTGACTATTTCCAGCAAAAAAATCGTTGTTTTAATTGCATATCTGGATTCAGCTCATTGAACTACACGATAAAAAGTTTCTGATTTTCTTCACTGACCTCCCTGGGGAGCACTTTACTCGTGTTATTCTTCATAAGATCTTGCGGCATGTTCACATTTTCAAATTCCAAATATGCGATACTGACAATACTGAAAAATGTGATATTATTATATTATTTCTGTTGTTACCAAATTTATTTTGTTTTGTTCTGATATTATACTTTTTTTATGTTCTGGTTTCCACAGAAAGGGATATCCTGAAATGTTCAGAGAACATCGTGAGAACCAAGAAAAATAAGGTAGGCATTGGTGTTCCTCTCTCTCATCTATGATATAATGTTTTTTTTGGACCCTATTTTGCTTATTCAAATGACGCCTCATCAGCGTCCGCAGGATTTTATGAAAAAACACACGAGTTAAGTGCTCCCCGGGGGGCTAGGGAGAGATTTTTGAAACTATTCATCGTGTATGCTCATGGGATAAATCGATTTTTAAGAATATTGAGATGATTTGACTCACAAAAATACCCAGTTCGCAATATTTTATGAAAAAACACACGAGTAAAGTGCTCCCCATGGAGACTTGCGAAAAATTCAAAAAACTTTCCAACCTGTATTTTCATGAGATAAATCGATTTTCGAGAAAATTGAGATGACTTGACTGGTAAAAATACCCAGCCCGCAAGATTTTATGGAAAAACACACGAGTAAAGTGCTCCCCGGGAGGCTAGGGAGAAACTTTAAAAACTTTTCATCGTGTAAGCTAATGGGATGAATCGATTTTTGAGAAAATTGGTATGATTTTATTTTTAACAATACCCAGTCCGCTAGATTTTATGAAAAAATAAACGAGTAAAGTGTTCCCAGGGGGGCTAGGGGGAAACTTTAAAAACTATTCATCGTGAAAGCTAATGGGATGAATCGATTTTTGAGAAAATTGAGATGATTTTATTGTTAAAAATACCCGAGGAAATACCCAGTCCGCAAGATTTTATGAAAAAATAAAAGAGTAAAGGCTCCCCCAGGGGGGCTGGAAAAAAATTCGATGAGCTCAATCCAGATATGAAATGAAAACAACGATTCGTTTACTGGAAATAGCCAGTCCGCAGCATTTTATCCAGTCCGCCAATTATACACACCCCAGAAAATGCGTTCAAACTTGAAACAAATGTGTGAAATCTGAATAGACACAAACTTTCCGAAGACACTTTATATTATATTCCAGAAATTTTTTAAAGTCTAGATTAGGGGTTGAAATATTAATTCAACCTCTTGATATTTTTTTACAACTATTTCATTGTATGAAATTTTGAAGAAACATAGCTGAAAAGCCCAATTAATTTACTGACTTTTTCATCTCTAAAAGTTATTTCGAAAACTTCAAAGAATTTGACATCTTTTTGAAAAAAAAAAATTTAACCAAGAAAAATGTCTTAGGGGTTGAATATTTCAACCCATTCTAAGCATACCTACTTCAGGATTGGAAAGATTCGAATTATACGTATTTAAAAAAAAAACAATAACGCTCTCTGTCATAACTTGAGGTTTGTTGAAAAAAAGTATTAAAACTTACAACTAACCACAATTAAAAATCCACTGTTCGGCACGAGTATCACTAGGAACACGGAACATTTGTAAAGTTTCATCGTCTCTTTGCGATATTCCACAGTTGAAAAAACTACATTTATTTCCACTACGGTGGTCCTGAGGGCGATTCATGATCGTCAAAGCAGAGAATATCTGGTCACAGTGAACAATACAGCAATAACCAGATAGGTAAACACAATAATGAGAAATGAATGAGAACAATCGAATCAATATCACATACAACAATAATTCATTAATAAATAAGTAATAAAATTGGAAGATATGTCCAGCCTCCAGGCACCTCCAGATTTAAAAATTATACCTGCTCTAGAGATGAAGGCTGAAGGGATAGGCGGCACGTGTGCGGAAGGACAAGCGAGGGGGAAGGGACGGTTGTTTTATCGGTGGTAACGATTTGGGTCGAGCGAGAGTTCCAAAGAAGATTTAGCATGCACGCATTTTGTGAGTCGGGACTGGTCGGGGATTCGGTAGTGTTCGGTAGATACGCGACGATTTTCATGAATGAATTTCACAGGGCTCCAAATGGCGGGAACGAAACTGGATTTGTGGCTCCATTCGGAGCGCGGCCAGTTTTAACACGGGCGTTGTCTATCTAGGGGAGTGTATAATCTCTGGTGCAGTAGTGCTACAGGGTAAATCCTCAGGGTGTAAGGTACAGAAGGCTGTGGATCTAATCAGCCACAGATTAGAGCCCCTACAGCTCTATGGCCTCTCAGTAGAGGTAGTACCCAACGACTGGGATGAAAAACCCTGAAGAGAACATGTATAGTCACTCGAAAGGATCAGAAAATACCTCATACCTCTGATGATGGGCGGGTTTGATGAAGTTGAGTGACGCCGGCCTCGTGTTCTTCAGCCACAAATCCCTCGAAAATGAGGTCTGGTACCAGAACCAACAAAGGTACCCAGAAAATTGAGATTTTTGGTCAAATAATTATCTCGACACTATTACAAAAATTACTACTATAAGTGAACTATTTACAAAGAAACCAAATCTCAGGCTCACTTGTACCACGAGGTGGTCCACTCAAGGTTTCCAAAATGAATCCCGAGTCTCTCGTCGGTTTCGGTGGGCTGTGTTTCCCGCCGGAAGAATGTTCTTCTTGCCATCGTTATATGGCAATCAGCCTTGTTGGTGGGAGCCATCCCGACCACCAACACAACACTTGAGCCTAAATGGCTTAACACCACTTTTTTTTGAAAAAGGAAAAATGGCCTGACTTTCGCCAGACTACACTTCCGAAGCACAGCACAGCAGCGGATATTATTGCGCCACAGCCAACCTGATGCGCATCAATTAATTCCAGAAAAATCTAGATTACTCTCGAATTCGGACATGCGTCGATATCGAAGAAGGCGTCAGAATTACGTGAGGAATCTTCTTCCTCGGCCAGAGCCACTGACATGACGGGACACAACCCATGAGTACATCACACCGAATATTCAAAATAGTAATCGAATAACAAACTTAAAGGGTTGTGAATCGAACAAAGATTAGATTAGATTTAGAATGGGGCCTTCGGGCTATCTGCCTCCACACCGCGACCTTTTCAGATCTATTGTGTCTGCCCTCATAATAGATTAGAGTTCTTCGGCTAGCCCCGTCTTCTCTATGAGACTCCATAGGCTAGCTTTCAGATCCCCTGTGTATCTCTGGGCTTCTGGTTTTTCCTCACCCAGCGTAAGGAACCTTAGTCTTGACAAGCCCTCACAGTGGCAAAGTATGTGTACTGCTGTTTCCTCCTCTTCCTGACAGAACCTGCACAGCAGTTCTTCAGTCAGACCTATCGTACTCATGTGTTTGTTGAGCCTACAATGCCCTGTGAGAAGTCCCACTAGTATTCTAGTTGAACTCCGTTTCTGGCTTAGTAGATATTCTGTGAATGTTGGCGATGGTTTTTTAATAAACTCTTTTGCCTGTCTCATTCCTGGCGATTTGTTTCACCATTCTTGAGATTTGGTTTGCATCCATGATTTGATACTAGTCTTTTTTATAGCTTTCGCAATACCACAGAAGGGTTCTGGGCCATTCAGAGCTTTGTTTGCTTCTGCTCGGGCAAGTGAGTCTGCCTCTTCATTGCCCTCGTACCCTGTATGTGCTAGTACCCATGCTAGAGTCAGTCTGTTCTGACTGCCCAGTGCATTTAGGGTTTCTAAGCAGTCCCATACTAGTTTTGAGTTAACTTGCATAGAGTTGACTGCTTTGATTGCCGCCTGGCTATCTGAATAGATTGCAATGGTTTTGCCTTTAATCGAACAAAACCCTTCAATCATAATTATTGTCTATAACCTCTTCTGACAGCGGCTAGAGATAAAGAAGAAGTGTGCTTATACGTAAACAAAAGAAGATTAGCTCGCAAATAACACTCACTTGTCATCGCCAGATGACACCTTTGACAGTGACATATTGGTTAATGGAAAATTATTTCGATGTAAACAAAACAATGATTGAAATGGAAATGAAGTTGTAGAATGACTATCTATGAAAGATCTTACAATTCAAGTATGGTCAGTTTCACCACCTATGCTACAATTCACAGAGATCAACAGTCAGGCAGGCCTTGCCCAGTTAAGATATCGTGTACTGACAGTACCTGATAAACGGAGAATCATAACTAAATAGTTCAGCCAAATACAACAAAATGTGTTGGACCAGTTCACAGACCAACGATAACACGGCCACGGTATCTCTACCTACCTAATTTCACGAATTGATGAGCGGAGGAACAGGATAATACAAGGT